GGAGCAGTTCTCCAGATAATCTGCAAATAATGTTAGCTGTATACCTTTTATACCTAGGGATTTTGGATTATTGAGAAATTGGATTCGCTTTGATTCTTGTAATGTCATTAAAATCATACACATGACTCCAACTGAAAAATAGAACTTATACGTGGAAAGTCATTGATAAAAAAGATATTATTTTATCTATAAATTTGGATTATTAATTTTTTATGCAAAAAATATAAATTAATATGGGAATTATATATACTTATGTAACATACATATATAATGCAACTGAGTTAAGAAAGAGATATGTCGGGAAAACATCTCTATTTTACCATAAAGAAAGGTAATGTTGTATCAAAGCTATCGAAAAAGTCGAGCGCGCTGTCGCGTCGGAAGCACCTCGTTGCGAATAAACTTACAACTCTACTACTTTTGAAATGAAATGGGGTGCTAATTAATAAACCCGTTTCCTCTACTTTTCATGCGTCCGCTCTTTGATATTCGGAGTATAATTTTAAACACCTCTTTAGTAATATATTTTCAGTCTTTTTACTAATGCATTTACGAATTGTTAAATAAAATCATTGGTAGAACTTTAACGAACAATCCCGCTAATGATACTTTGATAATTTTCAATTATAATCTATTTGGAAGATATAAAAATGATGTTCTATATTGGAACCATCGAGTATTCGAATATATAACCAGATATAGAGACGAAATGTCATTAAATTTGTTTGGAAACTATTCTGCCAAATGACAACTGATGACAACTGCTCCGGTAGGCCAGCCCGAATTCGAAATATACTTTAGAGATGGACAAGCAAATATAATATTATCGAAATCTTATTTCTCAAACACTTATAAAGAGTGATTATTCAGGAGGTGGCAAGAATTTCTATTTATTTCAAATTTCTTATCAAGGATGTTAATTTGGATGCATTACTTTAAGTAAAGGTAAAAGCCAGTGTGTGAATATGAAGGAAACTTGATGTGAAATTATCCTCTAATTATGTATATACAATGCATTTTTTGCATTTCAGTTACTTTGTTTTGTAAGATACGAGTTTGATAAGTAAAGCGACGATATGGCATTATAAATAACCATTACCTGTTTTTTTACCGATTTCGAATTGTGTAGAATTATTAGAATCCATAATCATTCCGAGTGAGCAAGTAATGAATGTATTTCTTACATATTTGTACACTTTTGTCGAATATAAATCGTAATCATCGTAAGAGCGAAACTCCTCAATTCTGGCGAATATTTTTTTTTACAATTTTCCCTGTTCTGTGTTTTAGATATTGACGTTGTACGATTTCTTCATTATGCACACCAATTTTTTTTAAGTGTCGCCGTCTATCGCTTTTATAATTTTTTTTACCTCTAATTCCCTTATTATGAATTTTAAAGATACCACCCGGGTGCACCCTCTTATTATAGTAACGTAATTTCTCTTGTAGTGCCTTAATTGTTCTATTTTTATGCTTAACTTGACTTGTCAACCCCAAAAACACGTCTTCAAAGACGTTTTTTGGTCCGAAAATTAAACTGTGGAAGAGTTTCAGGATCGGTAGCAGGAGTTTTCGTTTAGTTGCCCTAGGTGTAGGTGGTGAAAGTTCATTTTGAGATGATGATGGTATCGGAGTTATATTTTCCGGAGCGTGTTCAGAACTTATGTTACTCTGAAAGGGAAAAATTCGAGTCTATAAATAATATAAGTTTAATAAAGTTAAATTAGACGGATTATATGTATCACTTACTGCTCCAGGTATATGTAGTGTAGGAATTGCGGTATCAAATAAGCGGCGGCGAATGTTCTCTGTATAAAAACAGTCTTCTGTGAAATGCCGAGAGCAAACGACGCTGTAATTGCTTGGAAACCAGTTTTCCCTTCTCGTGGAAGCAATCCATTTTTCCTTCAGGCCCGGATCCTTAGGAAATCTTCAAAAACAATACAAAAACACTAAGTTTTTTTCGTTACCAACGTATTTTAAACAAAACAACTGACAGTACACAACACTAACTGCCCATGGGTCTCCCCAAAACCCATAAATAGTCTGGACTCCTCGGGGACTTGGCACAATCACCACATTTGCAAGGTGATCGCAGTATGTTAGTTGTGTAGATATTCATGGAAAGATATGGGGTGATATTATACTAGGCCAACACCACACGACCATAAGAAGTAAAATTTATAAATATACTCTCAAACAAAAACAATTTTCCTGAGGAATAAAAACGAACGACAATCTATCACGTAATAGTTAGTGTGTCTTATGCATAATCTGATCTGATATACTTATAAAATCGATACATTATACTCATGGCTCAATACTTAACTACGACGACGTTAGATGTAGATTTTTTACTTTACCGATTGTTTAAATAAATCATTATACAGCATTGACTTACAAATAAATGGACGACGGGTCTAATACAAAAACCACGAAAAAAATGTCCCAAGTCAACCTATTCGAAATTTAAATTGTAATGTCATCGCAGTATCGCGCTGTCAGTAGAACAAATGAAGACTAAAGCGGAGTGTCGCGCTCTATATACGATTTTAGCGCCTTACAAGTGCGGACACTTTTTAGCGCCGACCCGACGTCCATATAATTGTAAGTCAATGTTATACAGTAATAATTATACTTGCGAATACCGATACATAATATGATTTTTTCAGTGCAACACTAGCAACACGTGCCCAATGAATAGAATGAGATGATGTAATGGGAGTTGCATTAGGTGGAAGCAAGACGCATAAATGATTTGAAACAATTGAAGGGTGTTGTCAATTGTTTCACTGCAAATCGACCAGTTTAACTTGAGCTATACTATAATGGACAAAAATTGAAAAATTACATATTTAATATTTAATTACCGATTAAATGTGATTCCGTTTGTTTAGTAATTAGATGTTTTGCTATTTTTCCCACACCACCAAATAGAACACCACGGCAATGTTAGAGAAATTATCTTTATCACAATAAATACAGAATATTTTTTGGAATATACCGAGACGTACACACAGGTCAGTAGTAGGCCTGTCTATATTTCAGTGCAAACGGGAATTGATATTTATAAGAGCTGTATCGCTAATGTGTTACCAGGAATATATGGCCCTTGTTTCGTCTATATTTCTGGTTATAAACTCGATGAGTAACTAAAATATTCTCGAATACTCGATCGAGTATATTATATTTACTGCACCGAACAGGATTTGTTTAAATTCATTTCCTTTCGAAAGTATTAAAACAATTACGTTATCACTTACAGAAGTTTAAAAATATAAATAAATATATATGCAGAAATATATCTTTCGCAATAAATGCAAATAGAATCGAGATCACACTAAGTAGTAGTTTTAAAGTATATTATAGCGGATTGTTTGCCAATGACACTGGGAGATTCTTTTTTAAATAGCATTTTTATAGATCTCTTATAATTTTCGTTTCTCATAATTCAAAGTGAACTTCAAAAATAATGCCATTAATACGAATTACGTAACGACTACGGAACCCTATCAAGCGCGTGCGCTGTTGATAAGTTTTTTGCATATCAGAATACAATCCATACATCCAATCCATCAATCCATAATCCACACATTCACATGAGATGAACCAAAGCTATGTAACTCGAATGCATCACGAGATTCTGCGTCCGTACACAGCATGCGGCGGCCGCGTACACGTACAGCCGCGTTGATACGCTTGTACGGAATTACATACTTGTCTTATTATATAATATACTCCCGGTCACATAATACGAGCCACCTTGCTATTTCAATATTAAATGTCCTTAGCTTAAACAATGCTTAATTGCCCAAAAATGCTTTTATGCAGCTTTGAAACTGGTATACTAAACATTTTTTCCTTAAGTCCTTATTGAAAATTTGAATTTAAGAACTGGAGAAAACTTTTTCTTCGTTAATAACTATATTTTTATGTTCTAGTCCTTTAAGGATAAAAATGCAAGGTGGCTCGAATTTTGTGTCCGGAAGTGTACTATGCCATAACTTACCAGCCCTTGCGGTAATAGCATAGTTCCATTGGCAATGATGTCAAGTTGGTACCTCTCCTTTAACGGGACGGTCTTTCCGTGACTGATACTGAGTGACCGGAATTGAGTACGCAAGTTTTTTTACGCTTTGATGACGAAATGGCTTTGTCCACGCCAAGAGAACATTCACACTGTGACGATGCGACCTCATTCACCGTCATCCCACCTTTTTATCACCTTTTTCTCCGGTTCCTGGCCACTTATTTCTGAAATTTTGAATCGTTCTCTAATTCTTTTTCTTCGCCATTCTTACTCTGCTTCGGTCCGTCGTCACTCCTCTCACTCATACAAAATTCTCGAGACGAGAAGAATCACGTAACCTACGTGCCTAAAAGCAGCAATAATACGAATACAGGTCCTTTTGGGGTAGTTGACTAATCACACAATAATAAACTAATAAGTTCTAATCTGTAGGAAGTGTTTCTATATTATTGTACCAGTTTTATACCTACCTGTTTTTGTTACAGCCTGTCCTTCCTTTCTTCTTACCTTCACCTTTTCCCTGTTATACTTCTACAATATATTCAAGTGGACCGAGCGTACTTTCTAATAAGACCCGCGTGACAACATTTTAGGTAATTAAACTCCCTCTCTCCTGACAACGTAGACCTATATTATGTGTTTAAAAAAATTGCTATCGGTTATTCAGTCTTGCCGCTTTTTCTTCTAATATTGATATTTTATATAGAATTCGTTATATTAAATAAATTGCTTGAAACCATAAAGGTGTTGTGACCAAATCATCTGTAAATGTTCAAAGTGACATTGGTCTACCGTTACTCAGTAGAGTTATCTAGTCAGGCGTCAATAGAGTAAATTGACATCTTAAATCTTAGGAAGCATGTGCAGTCATGTGCTATAATATGTAGACCCTTGAACGTAAAATTAAAATAAATCTTGCTTAGATTATACACATAATTTCTAGAGGTATAGAAACATTACAAAATGTGAAATAACAAATGAGAAATTAAATAGAATAATTATTAATGCAAAGACCGAAGGGACAGAAAATTTCCTTCGATTCGTCTAGACTCGAACCAGTGACCTTGTCATACCGTGACTGGCTTCAATAAACATTATTACAATGAAATGAATGTTAATTGACGATAATATTTATTTATACCATTTCATTATAATTTCATGAAAAAATCATTTCAAGTTTACATATCGAGTTCTTAGATTTTCGCAACTGTTACACATAGGAAATGAAACTATTTTTCCGGATTTAAATTGCGTAATTTTGGTCACGGTTGACTGAGGTGGTACAGTCATGTCTAATATTAATGCAAACGACCCTATTTTTTCATTATAGCTACAAAAGTTATTAATTAAATACCTTATTTTTAATTTTACAAAGAAACATTCCAATTACGTACACACGCTACATTATGTTTTATTTTAACAATATGAATTTTTATTAAATTAAATTTATTATTAATTAATAATGGAAATTAGAATAAATTAAAACGTTTCGGGACCTATAAAGTGCTGGAAACGTTGGCTTGTTTGAAAAAACAAATACGCTAAAAAAATACTGTAAACATCAATCGTAATCATATAAATTTCAGTTCTATTAAATACTTAAATCGCATAGTTGAATAACCGAACACTAAAATCAATAATTCACTAATTGCTTTTGGATGGTATTACATGTAGAAATTATTAGCATCAGCATTATTAAATGTCTATCGCAGTTGCAAATTGTTGTAATTATAATGATCTTTAAACACAATTTATGCTTACAAATGGTGTGCATTGACGTCAGTCGATATATTGCTCTATATAGTTATGACTTCCTCAAGTTACAAATGTCTTACGACGTATACAAGCGTATTGTCCGATTTGCATTTTCTTGCAAATGTTATCAGGGAAATTTGCGTGTTAAACTCGATTAGTTATTGTATACAACATTTGAAAGAAATCGTTTATACTAACTGAAGAGTAAAGACCTTCAATGAGTGAACATTTTTTAGTATTCATGAGACAGATGCACAGACATTAGTATTACAACACTAAGAATGATACATTCACCAAAATAATGATCCCAGGCCCCCTAGGATAGCCATTTGAAGGTAAGTACTTACCTTCAAATGGTAATAATTAAGCGAATAAAAAATAAAGAGCGTAAGTGATCCCGACGTTATCCGATAGGTACTCATAAGTCGTCCAGTGTAACGCTTCGAACTCTTAGGGTCGTATTCCAGAACTCTACTCAATGCTCAAATCAGGACTTGACTATGATTTCAAGCACTGGAAATACGACCGTAATGGCAAGGACTTGAGTATGTTTTTCATTGCTTTAAATCATACTCAAGTCCTGACTTGAACATTGAGTAGAGTTCTGGAATACGACCCTTAATGTATTATTTCCAAATCTTATAAGAAAAACATTTAAAACTAATACGTTATTCGTAAATTACACGTTTGATAATTTTTTACTGTATTCTGTGCCACGATTTTAAATCTAAAACCTTTTTGCATTCCTTACTTTAATAGCAGATCGTCCAGGGAAATACTACCACCTTACCTACTTCTGCCGCCAAGCAGTAATATGAGCTTTACTGCGTTCCGGTTTGGAAGGGTAAAGGGTGCTGGTGAAATTATAGGGACACGGGCCTTGTCAACTTGTATCTCAGGATGACGGGAACAGAGGCAGGGCCTCTAAGATCTTTGCGATAAATTTCATTACAAAAAAGCTTTTAAAACAAAATATATTTTGCAAAAATATGTAGTACTGCATGTTAATAGGTAAAAAAAGTTATTTCATTGTAATTTAAGCATGTGTACACATATGATGTACCGGCCATTATTGACTTGACATTCTACGGGTCGTATTCCAGAACTCTACTCAATGCTCAAGTCAGGATTTGAGCAGACTTGAGTATGATTTCAAGCACTAGAAATACGACCCTATTGGCAAGGATTTGAGTATGATTTTCAGTGCTCACTGCAATACTCAAGTCCTGACTTGAGTATTGAGTAGAGTTTCTAGAATACGACCCTACGACGACTCACACAAATGAGCCACGATCCAGTGGACGACCATTTGCACTGCACTCTAGTTTAAGTCAATCAAGGCACATTTACTCACTCAATAAGACTCAAATTGACCGTCTGTTTGTTACAGGAAGCGTCTCAAAACATCGCCACCAGACTTCAAAGCTCGTTCTCTACATCAAACGCGTTCAGAGGAACATCAATCTAAAGAGGCTATTAAAACCCAATTCAATCATAAAAACAAACATGACAGGCTATTTCTGTACAACTGTGGTTGAATAATTTAACACATGAGTTTTGAACAAAACCACGTCGGTACTGGGAGAGTGAGTTTTACCACATATCCAATTTCTACTTCAGTGATGCAGCCTATCAATAATTTCGTACGGCAGGGACTTCTGGACCAGGCCGAGACACGTCTTGGCGAGTTACGGCCTATTTATCAGCCCGATATTTTACAAGTTCCCTACTACAATTATGCTGAAAATCCACTACCACCTTTCGCTCTTCCCACGGTACCGATGGCACCAGCTTTACCCGGAATGACAGCCGTAGAAGAAGAAAAGATTGACGTAGGAGTTGAAGAAATCAACCCGAGTGGGATGATTGTAGCCAACACGGTTGAGAATCCTGTCACGTTATCACCCCAGCTGGAATTTAGCCTTAGGATTAATTATCAATTGCAAGAGTATCACGCGCAGCTTATGCGTTTGCATGAAGACGTCCTGCGCAAGGCTCAGGAAGCCAACTGGCAACGCTATATTTATGAAAATATTCCACAAGGGCATACGGCTCATTCTATTGACAAAATTTTACACCTGCCTACATTCATCGATAAAAATAGGCCCTACCATACTTATCTCCAACAAACCCTCATACAAGAGGAACAGCAGAGGTCGGCAACTAGCAGCGATCCGATGATCAATGTAAACAGGAAGCTCGAGTTAAAAAGTCCTTACCAAATACAAAATGTACAAGAAAAGGGCCTGCAAACGGATTTGCCAGAAAGATCGCAAGATATAGATAACGAGTATAAAAATAACCTCCAGGTGCAGCTGGGCCAAAGAAGTGCACCAAAGCCTGTAGATCTTGTGTTATACAATCCTGCACCACAACCGTTGCCTCCTACACAATATACATATCAAAACTATGACGAGCCTCTCAATTTGGCCATGCCGAAGAAATCTGATATGTCCGAATGGGGGCTTGCTACTCCACCAGCACCAGCTCACAGCAATACGTCAGCTTCTGAACAGTTCCAAACAGGTATATATTTAAACTTAACATTTATCAAACATTACAATCTATATAAGCTATTCCAGGAAATTTCTACCATATGAAGTGTAGACTGTGAGATGGTTAAGCTGTAAATTAGAGTCAATTAGTCGAAAAGGCTCCCTGTGTGAAATGCTCGTCGTGTTGTATCGTATTAATAACCTTAAATAGCAGTCAATGACTGCAGATGGAGTGTGTAAGGTTTTGTTTTCTTAGGCCGTGTAACAGGACCTTCTCGTAATGGACACTTATGTTTTTAATATGAGGATATGTTATTTACAATTTATAATTGTACGTGAATTTGCTTTTACAATATCCAACTACTATATAATGAAATTCGATAATTCCGTGTTAATCGTAAAGTGTGTGTAGAAGTATTTATTTACATTCTACAACGCAAAGAACAAATCATATCGTTTTACATGCAGCACCGAGCTTAATCTGAACGTATCAAAGACTTTATGTTCGCTCATTGGCCACAAAGTATATTTTGCAAGGACTAATTCGAATGTGAAACGTCCAAGCTATAAGCTAGTGGCTGCTGCAGCTGTGACGTCCATCGACAGTAGGGTTGGCGATTTACGTGCGCACAGTATTTTAGTATTACGAATTAGGCACGATTTTCTCCATCCAATTTCTGTCATTCTGGGTTTAATGTAAGCGTACAGTCGATAATTTATTCAGACTTTTTTGTTGTTCGTACCTGCAGCTTATAAATTATAAATTCAAACAATAATACATATTTTTTTCTCTTGTTACACATGTAGTGAACTGTTGAATTTTAGCAGAATTAATCATAGTTGTGATTGTTGGAATTGTGCATTGCGTAACCCTGCCCTGAAACGATTGTGTTATGTATGTGTCTGCGCGTGAGCAGTGTGCGTGCACTGCTCACGCGCAAACCGACGATGGGTTAATTCGCTGATCACATTCCGGATCCCTTGTTTAGACTAGGTTTACTCCAGCAATACTAAATATAATACCAAGCTCAATTCGCCGCGTCTGGGCTGTAATAGTATTCAATATAATAAATAATCGAAACGATTTGAATGAGTTACTTTTTTTTAATAGTACACAAATGACAGTAGATAAAGTCTGTACCTAAAACGACAGTGAAAGAAGAGTAAATTATTGAAATACATCAAACACGGTCGAACTTATATTATTGCCCGGGGATAATGCGCGTGCATTATAAAATAAATAATGGAAAGTGACTAGTCTGAACTCTAGAGGCAGCTAAATTTAGTGCTTGCGATACTTAAGCCTGGTCCCGTGGGCTTTCGTCGCACGTCGCTTGCTTTAATCTTCGCTGCTCCTGGTTGCGCGACCGATGCAGACAACAATAAATCACATTAAACACGCTCCTGGATTAGATGCAACTTTGCTTCATCACACCAACATTTCTGCCACAACTATGTACTCCGAAGACCTAAACGTTAATAACCATTGCCGAATCACACATAACAACATTAGGAATGATTCAGAGAACCTTTCACATAAAAATATCATGTTCAAACGAACTAGCCACTTTATTTGCAATTATTTATGACCTCAATTAACCTTATAAGATGGTGCCAACATCAATGATTCATATTTCATGCACCTGTGTCTCCTACATAATTACATCGCGAGGTATAACTCCGTACATTACAAAAATAAGCACGTGTACAGTATTTCTTGTTGTATCACATGCACAGTTATAATTGCGCTGTGAATAATTGTCAAGTGTTTACGAAACGGATCAAATCGTGATTTGTAATTGCATACCTACATAGACAGTGAGTGGTTTTAAGCGCGGTGGGTACAGAAAACGAAGAGAGATTTCTACATATACTCTTTGTACGTATATACTTTGTACGCATACGTTGCTGCCTTTGTACAATAAAGCAGTATTGCAGGATACTACGATTTTGAAGTAAACATACTGCCAGCATAGATCAGCAGAGCAAGCGAAACTCTGTTGTGAATAAAACACAAATTTTCTTCCTTAAAAAAATTACGTGAGTAAAGTTTTTGAAGTAAGAGTTATGGGTGATTCATTTATGACAAAATTTCGCTTGCTCTGTCCGTCGCTGTATGTTTAGTTCAAAACCATAGTACCCTGCACTTTTGCGTTATTACTAATTGTTATGGTTGTATTGGTAGGTATAAAGGCAGCGATATTACGAATGCTGAAATTGGAAAGCGCTTGAATATTTATACATCAGTCTAACACTTCGTCTATTGTTAGTTTACTTGGGTGCATGTAATTTCAGTATTATTTATTAAAGTATTTACTTTAATCGATCTGTATTTATGCAAAGGAAATGGAGATAAGTTCCATGTGTCGTTTACAGATGCGATATGAGTCTTAATGTGACCGACGTTTCAGTTCATGGATCTAGGTCCGGACACTGTTAATAGTCCAATAAATTGAGTGGCCGTCTGTAGTGTATCGCTATAAAGCAGGAAGTGATCTTTTGAAGTTGGTCGCGTAATTTACGCGAGTCCGACACGCGTTTGCGGTCGCCTTTACAGCTTCACTAGAATGGGGCAGTGTTGTTTTAGTTGATTATGCCATTGTATTAACGTTTCTAACCATTAATTGGTCGTGATGTTTTGCGAGTGCAATGTTCATTCAAGTATTCAGTTATAAGAATCTAAAACGAGGCATGTAGGTTTTTGTATCATTTGTTCAAATACCTAAAAGTGTCAAGTGGTCAAATTCATCCATGAATCTACTGTGTGTAAGACAATAAAGTGTAAAATTAGCTGCCAATTAAAAAAGTGGTAGTAGTACTACTGATATAATATTATAATATATCTGTTATAACTGTCAGTATGAATGAACGGAGCAATCACAAATTATCGCTTTCAACCTTTTGCATTTCTCGCGGGCGTGTCAGAAGGGACGTTTATGTAAAGGAGCCCACAGGCGGTTTAAGTTGCAGGTGTGCCATATCCTACGTCTAATAATCCTCGCGTCGATCGTTTGAGAAGAGATTTATTCTTTCCTCACTTTGTATATCTAACCGACATTAGTACGAATACACTCCTAGTGTTTTATTTCGTGGTTCGGAACGGCGTTTATTGATTCTAGTGGTATTTTATTAGCATTTTATATCCGAAGCCCACGTTACGTGTCCTTTCAGTCTCTAGTTTAAAGATGTTTATACATTTTAGTTGACTATACTTTTTTAATTGTTGGTTTATTGTGAAAGGTTTGTTGAGAATAACATGTTAATGACAAGCACTAAAAGCTTGTTGTATTGGCTTATACAATGTACCTACTCTTGTACGTGAAATTAGAATTGTCGATCAGACAGATTGTCCACCTGTTGGAAAGTTGTTACCACCGTCTATGGAAATTTGCTATATTATGGAAGGGTCCCAATATCCTGACTTTATTGTCGGCCATAGAACGTCTTTTGTGTCTGTTTTGTGCCTTTCAAACCGGAACACAATATCATGGTAGAAATAGGTGAGGATGTGGTAAAGTTGCCTGCAATGAAATGCAGCAAAATCAAAATTAGATTTTTGAAGGAAACGATAGAATATGTTCTTTTAATTACGTCTCTGTCTACGACGGAAAATCTAACTACCCAATAACTCCATACGCATTCCCATGGAATTCTAGAATAAAATTATTTAAACTAAAATTCTTTCTATAATTCTTCCGAAAAGTACCTAAACGGTTTAGTTCCATTCATTCCCTGTCTCTTAAATTTTCGCGATGTTTACTCTTAGGTTCATCATTGCATGACGCACTAGAGAATAGTTGCGTCTGCCGATTGTCTAATAAAGCCCCGACGCACGTTCAGAGCCATGTCTCCTCATAAATACTCTTCTAAAATTGGTGGAAACAATATTTCGCGCTACATTATTGCATTTGCAATGTTGACTGTGTAGAATAAATGGACCGGTTTGAATGTAGCGATTTAATCGCATTCTCTCGACTGAATTATAGGTACTGTTGGTGTGAAATTTGGTTATATCGGTCCCAATTAGTTTTGTTTGTGCACATACGAAAGGCATTATTATGAATGCGTTCTGAAATAGAATGGAGACGCTTCGGCGGGGTGTGAGCGGTCGAATTAAGCGATATTAATGTTGTAAACAGTCGATATATTAGTCAGAAGAAGACTACTCATACGAGGGCACGCTCCAATCGCAATTAATTCGCTCCTTTAGCCTGTACTCGGCAATTAAAATAGTCGGCTTGGAATTTTCTATAGTTGGCAAGCTCGCTCTGAGCTGTCATTTATCTGTCAAATAGGCAAATGAGTATCAAACCTCGTGCCATCTACGTTTACATTGCTGGAATTACCTATAATCTTAACAATAATATTAAATCTCGCGGCAGCGGTCTCTTCAATCTTTGTGTATTGATCGTCTTATCTTTCAATTCACATGTCAAAAACAAAATAATATTGTGCAATTGATCCAAAAGCGTATGCGACTTAAACAAAAAGGAGCAGAAGACTTGCGACCGATCTGGAATGGTTTCACCAAAGATATAGAAGGCAAACATTTGGATTAAGTGCGCCTGGAGAAAATCTACAAAATCAGATTCTGGCTGCTGTAGTGCTACGCAAACGAAGAATATAAAATTACTAAAATGAAATGCGTACGTGCCGCATCCACATTTTACTATTTTTATGATTTTACATTTTGTATATAATTATCTTATATAAAAGAAGCTGTTTAGGTTCTAATCAGATTTTTATTGTTTTAACATGATTTATTTTTCTTAATTTTTACAAAATCGTCAATGCAGAACGAGATTAGCTCTGAGAAAGGAAACACAACCTAAATGTATTATATTCGTCGGACAATCATCTGAGCTTTTCAACTAGATATCTACTCAACTAAAAGATAATAGTTCTACTACACAGTTCAAGTTGAAAAGTCGTTATATTGTTTCTTAAATACGACTACATTTTTTACGTTATCATTTTTATTAATTTTTTTTTGTTTGTTTTTATAGCACTATGAAGATACTTTGTAGTATGGATATACAAGTGCTACATTCGTCCGAGTAGTAGTATTATGTGTGTTGACCATGCGTTAATGCGAGTCTCGTCCACGTAGTTGTTCCAGACCCGAAGCTTGTTAAGCGCAAGAAGTCCACTGATGACGCACGCTCACCTATTGGTGGTGAAGGTTCAATGACAAGTGAGGAAGGGGAGGATTCTGGTGCAGGGCGCCGAAAGAAGGCACGGACCACTTTCACGGGCCGACAAATCTTTGAACTAGAGAAACTGTTCGAAGTGAAGAAGTACCTTTCCTCTGGTGAACGAGCCGAAATGGCAAAGATGCTTAATGTCACCGAGACACAGGTCAGTTTAGTTCCAATAACCAGAGTGACTGCACGCGCTTTCATATAACGCATACTAATAAAAAGTTTAACCGACTTATAACCTCAACGCTACTTTGAAAATGAAATGTAAATATAGTTTTCCGACCACGATGGGTAAATGGGCACACTTTAATTAAGTAGTATGACAAAAGACTGACTTGACGAAATTATATCATGACTATGATTGAAAGTTCTTCGAGACTAGAACCAATTTCCAATTCGTGGAATCATAGATGCTATGCAACTAGTTTTCCCTTGGTGAACACCGTGATTGGTTATTGACGAGATGCTGGCTTGCTTTTGAGTGCACGTGTTTACATCTAAGTTATTGAAGTGTGCAATAAATAGTTTTAACTGATATCATCAGTTCCTCGTTTGCCCCTGGCAACGTCTAGAGTTTGTCTTACCAAATTAAATTAACTACAATTATTTACTTATTCTTTTTTCTGAACAAGTCAATAATAAAGGCCCTGCACAGACGACTTCTTTCAGCAAGACGAATTAGTTAATGGGTCATCAAGTCATTTACGACACCCATCTCTCACTTGTTATTCCACGAAATCTCCAACAAATTTAAACGTTTTAAACAGTAACCCACACAGCGCCCGTGTTATTCTTCATTGATGGCCTGTCTCGAGTAATGAACTTCAGCGGAAACCATTACATTTCCTTTTCTACGAATAGATTACCTATTATGATGTCTTCTCTTCTCTTGATGTGTATTATCTTCTCTTGTCTTGTCTTGTCTCGTCTTGTCTGTCTTGCCTGACCACACAATGGTCAGGCACTAGATTTTACACTAGTATTTTTTAGAGTGTTCCGTGTACATTCAATATGTATTGTCCTATCAATCGTCTTCGAAAAAATTTTGCACAATTTGTAATTTATGATGTCTTTTATACCGGTATAATATCGTACAGGTAAGTTAATAAAATATTACAAACACTTTAGCAGACTGTCATTGGCTGAACATTCTATTTTTAGTTAAGTCGATAAGTTTTTAAATGTGTTTTCAGGTGCGAACCGACAGTTACTATCAACCTTTTACAGAAAATTATTAACGGCTTATAAAATTTTGGCGTTTAAAATCTGACAGCATGTTTTCAATACTTTATAATCAAACCTACAAATATTCGACTCATCCGAAGAACAGAGTCTGATGTGATTATACTGCGAAAATATAGGAAATACTCTCGTTAATCTCGTTATTCAAAATAAGGCCAATCTATAGGGGTTTTCAGAATTTTTATATCTTATTTCGTTTCGGAAATATAAAATCGAACAACAGTCGATCTGATACCCACAGCGAAAAACAACGAACGAAATGTACAATGTTCTGAGAATGAACAGTCTTACACATACGCCTTTGTTCTACGGAAGAATCATATTGCAAAAAAACCCACGATACGCGTCCCATTTTGTAGAACAACTTTAGTAGGAAATAAATAATAAGTAGTTCGTTTATGTCCTGGACTATAAGTTTAAGCGTCCTAAAGTGAGATAATTATACTATCACCAAGGTGGCAAAGGAAAGGGAGGGACGTCCCCCGCGACGTGAGCCGGCACATATGGCGTCACTAATTAAAACTATGGAACCATGACTTTGCTTCCAACACATCACGCTAAACAACTACGCACACATCCTTGTAACTTAATCTTTTGTTACATTTCATCGACAACAAAATTAATATTAATAAATCACAACATTCGAGTTGCAATCGAAGGCATTCTGCAATGACCAACGTCAATAATAATAAAAAAATTAAAATTCATTGATAACCTTGCACACAACATGTACATAGATGCGTATGAAACTTATAAGCACAAAATAACAATAATCTCGTTGAATTCAAATATTAACCGATTTTAATAATGAAACAGTCTAAATAGTGGATAACAAACGCGTACATTTCTGCATTATCATGAGAACATTAAGAATTCAAAGTTCTTTACTCAATGTATACCTATTAAAATTATAGATAATTGTAAATTTACGTGTTTCTTCATCCGACACCATCTTAAATCCTCTAGCACAGAGTTCGGAGAATATATCACATTTATTATTTCAATAACTTTATTAAATTTTCTAACGTTCACTCGTTGTATATAACTACAGGGTGTGATGCATTTATGTGATTTATCATTAATTAAATCGATTTTGCATTTCCTAATTCATCGAAATGAAACCTTGACTGATTACAATTACCTACTATATAATTATTTTGTTTCATAAATTTTAATATCTGTGTATTCTATTTTAATTGTAACATGTCACAAACAGAGGTATTAATTTACAATCTGTATGCCTAGAATCGTGACGTAGAGGCAGACAAACATTGATATCCGACAATTTCACAATGAACATATTTCAGTCGGATTAAATTTCAAAACGCGTATTTATATTATATTAGTAGTATTTATTGAAAAAAATATTACTACGAAGAGTGTCCTGTGCCTTGGAATACACTTCCGCTTCTTCCTGATCTGTGATACTGAAGTCTGACTAACTCGATAGGGGATCAACATTTAGTACAGAAAAACTGCACCAAACATTTTTAGAAACAACAAACAATTTGAACCCCAGTGTTGTCTTCTAGTTGTTGGTTGGAAATTTTCAGGTTAGTTTTCTCTACCTACATTTGGTGGCAATTTTTATTACATAATATTCAAGTATGTTATCTTGAAATGTTAAGTAATATTTCGGAATACTACACTCGAATATGAAATAATACCTACTTCATGACTAGATTCTAGATTCTAGAATATTTAAGTAATAAAAAATGGCCACTGACGGTAGAGATAATTAACTTGAAAATTACTCTGTTGAGCTTTTTAAAGTTCTATTTCTAAAATCGGCGAAGTAATTATAAATTTACCAATTTTAATATTTTAGAAATTAATTGAAACAACAAAGCAAACAATAAAGTGGGTTTTAAGGTGTCCTCGGTATATCACAAATAAACATAAAGATACTGGGAAAAAGAATAAATTTTAAATGACATTTGGTAGCCTGACACAGCATATCAACTGTTTATTATTCCAAGAACCCTTCGGCGTGGTTTGTTTCTACATCGAAAGGATCACTAATTGGGAAGAGGCTCTTTTCGATTTCCAACTATAAAATGATTAACCGCTGTCACGCTATAAGAAGCTTTCTTTCAACTGCGCTAAATTCATATTAGTTCGGGATTCTAATGTATTTATAAGACTCCGTGGTGCCATTGAGCCGAGAAACTCAGTAGGGATTGGACTATATAGGCCGATTTAAATTGACAGATTAATTCTACCGTTTAATTACTGGCGCGCAGTTCATTGGTAATCTTCAACTATTCGGTTTCCCTATTGTTTCCATTGAACGTTTTTACGAGATTATAATTAATAACGTTGGATAATTGAATTACGCCGATGTGAGTTAAATAATAATTCTTCTTGCTTTTTAACCGACTTCAAAAAAAGGAGGAGGTTCTCAATTTTTTTTGTATGTATGTTACGCGATAACTCTACTAATGCCGATTAGTGAACCGATTTTGATGATTCTTTTCTGTTGGGAAGAAGGTACCTTAGTAGTGATCCCATTTAAATTTGAAGAAAATATTCTACAGCTAAGGGTGGTACACTAGGGCATGAATGACTTTTGAGGTCGGTTTTTTTAGTACTCTGGTCTGAGATTATTAGTAATATTGGTAACAAACATGAATTGTTTATGTGTACAAGTCTAAAGAATACAATATACAAGAAAGCTTCGTACGGTTTACTTTTTTACTGTTTTGCGTAAAGACTTTTTTTTTTTTTTTTTTTATACATGACAGGCAAATGACTCCACTCCAACTGATGTTAAGTGGAAAGTGGTATCCAAACGCGAAGGAACCTAGTGCAGCGGTGAAACCCTCACTGCACTAGCCACCTCCACCCTGCCTACAATATGCCTCTTCACGCCTCGTTTGAAGGACCCCATATCATAAGAGAGAGGGAAGACATGTGCCGGAAGGGAGTTGCGAGAGATGTTGTAAAACATTTCGCTCTCAATTGATGCTAATAAGTTTTAATAATATTTATGTTTAAAGAATTTCTTTACCGAAGTTTAAAACAAAACTTCGAAAATATATTACATTACAATACATCATATAAAAATATTGAATTAAAGTAGAAAATAATGTGATCTGCATGGAATTTGACCGTCTGTCTATTTTGAGTTTATTTGAATAGACGAATTCAATAGTCAACTTCATTTCAATACAATACAATACAAACAAAAGACAACTAGATTTGTTAAGTGCGTTGGCATGAGGAATTTGCACTAATTCAATTCGGTTCACCCTGTGTCATTTCGTCATTCTCACCATATGTCATTTGTTAAGTGTGGCTCGAGCATTTTTGTTGTCCCCCGCGGTCCGCGCGCTCCCGACCCGCTTCTTCTAATGTCTTAAAATAAACTAAACCAATTTAGTAATTTTACATTATTTTATAAGGCGTTAACAATGTCTAATATTGTTTCTTCCGTCACTAATTGCTGAGTCGTACGTCTTAACGATTTTGCTTAGCATTAAAAAGCGGACATTCTTCACTAATCGTTGTATTTCTACCTTTTTATATATTAATATGACAAGCTGGTGCTCGTAATAAGTACTTAGAGTAGCTTAAGTACTGTACTACTTAATTGAGAAATAATTGATTCTCCATACAAATATTCATTCCCTATTTCACCTCTTTTAAAATTTATTTTTGTGTCAAAAAGTAACTATGTGCTTCTGCTAGGTCTCATCTATCTTTATACCAAAATTCATCAAAAGTTCAGTGGTTTAGGCGGGAAAACGTATGGATTATAAATAACTCATTGATAAATTACATGATTTATATGTTACACGACGCGAAAGATTTCGCGCGGCTGCCGCGCGCCGACCGCCCAGTTACCACGCTCTCATGTACGGACAACGGCACATCAGACTACACATTTTTGTTCGAAAATCGCCTCCAGTGCAA